TCCTCTTCACATGACCTCCTCCAAGTCGCCCTTGCATTGACAACCAACTCGCCACTTCCCACTTTGTCGGGTTTCACTCGAGCAGTGGCTTGTCTAGTGATGTCACTCACTTGATGGTTTCCTCAGCGTATGGCCAGCCAGTCCATCTAACTTCATTTCTTCCTGCCTATTTGTTTCACAATCGATTCCTGCTGTGTTGGTTCGCTCATTGCCAGAGATCCCTCTCTGTAGCTGATCTTTTCTGGCCGGCCATCTGATCTTGAGTAGTATTGAGCGAAGACAACTGTTAATGAAGGTTTGAAGTTTGTTTGAGATGCTCTTTATGACGCGCTGGCCAAGTCTCTGTTCCTTACTGTATAGTAGGTAGCACTGACTTCACATTGGAGTTGAAAATCCGGATCTGATTTTTTATAGTGAGTGCTGTTGACATCCACACAGATTTGGTGAGAGTAATGAAAGCCTGTCTTGTTTTGTCGATCCTCGCTTCTTTGATATTGATATATATCCATATAATATGTGTGTTTTGTTTGACAGTCTGATATATTTTGCTATGTATATATGGATCGATATTCCATTATAATTAGCCAATCATGTTAAGACTGTCTATTGATTTGTTCATTTTGAATATTCGCTCACACACTTGTGTCCACACACTTGTTCGGACATTCATATATATATTTTTGCTCTCACACTCTTGTGTGACATTGATTCTCCTGGTGTTTTGGAAAATAGAAGTATCATCGCAAACCTAGTGGTCTTCTGATTTCCGTCTTTCTTGCGTCAGGACTATTAAATTCTCGACCAGTACATAACAATAATTTGGAGACGGGGATGGGATGGAAATTATTGTTATGTACTGGTCGAGAATTTAATAGTCCTGACGCAAGAAAGACGGAAATCAGAAGACCACCAGGTTTGCGATGATACTTCTATTTTCCAAACACAAGGAGAATCAATATATCACACAAGAATGTGCGAGCAAAAATATAGATGAATGTCCAAACAAGTGAGTGAACAAATCAATAGACAGTCTTAACATGATTGGCTAATTATAATGGAATATCGATCCATATATACATAGCAAAATATATCAGACTGTCAAACAAAACACACATATTATATGGATATATGTCAGATATCCTCATCATTTCCGTCCGCATGTAGTTGAAACGATGCTTCCCAGGTAGGTAGGTAAAGGAGGTTGTTTGTTTCAGGTTCCTCTCATTTATGCTGGCTGATTGTTGTCTGTTGTTGTTGTTGCTGTTGGTCTTGACCAGGAATCTTCATCACCTCTGTTTTATTTTTGTTCACTTGAAGTTCTATCTTTGATACACACACACAAAGTGGAACCTAATTCCTTGAAACACCTGGAATAGAAGAAGCTTTATTGTGTTGCGCGGACTTAAAGCTCAAAGGAGAATAATTGCTTGAGATCAGGCTTTTAGAGTTATGTCCCTATGAAGAACTTACCACTACTATGGAGTAAGTGCTAAGTAAGGATGTACAATTTTTGGGGTCAACCTTTTCCAAGTTTCCCTTTCTCGAGGATAGAGGGAGACGGGCAGCCTAGCTAGTTTCTTCCTACTCCTACTATGCCGTCTATTCATTGGCAGATCCTCGATATTTATATAAACGACATCCACTAGAATGAAGCAGTCAGTACTGTTATGTTCTGCTGCTGAGTGAGTTATTAGAGTTTTCCCCGTCGCCAATTATTGTTATGTACTCGTCGAGTAGTTAATAGTCCTGACACGGAAAGAGGGAAATCAGAAGACCACCAGGTTTACGATGTTACTTGTATTTTCCAGACAAGGAAAATAGATGTCACACAAGAGTGAGTGAATGGTACGCAATGTACGAAATGTGTGTGAACACGAATAATGTACAAGTGTCTAATACAAAAGTATGTATGAAAATGGCTAATACACATGAACCAATAAAATAACGTCTTACCGTGATTGGTTCTAATTTCATGTGATAAAAAGGTCATACATGTTTATTTAGTTAGTGGACAGACAAAAGCATATTGTCAGTTATAATGAAATATCGATCCATATACACATAGCAAAATATAATAGACTGTCAACAACAAAACAGACACATCATGTGGATACATATCAAGTACCAAATGCCCTGAAAATCTTCTCATTCAGCTAATAATAATACTTTTTGTTTTCTAATTCTATATTATTTATGAGATTTCCAAACGTATCATTTAAAGTTGGGGTGACATACATTAACTTGAGCCACCTCTGGCCCCATTGCGATATTAGCCTGGGTGTCAAAGGTTCGGGTATACAGTGCTTCGGTGCGGGCTGTCTTGCTCTACACCTGTGAAACCTGACCTCTCCGAGCTGACGATGTGAGACGGCTCTGCGTGTTCGATCGTCTCTGACTCTTCAGGATTGCTTGTGTTCGATGGCATTAACACGCCTGTGATTCTAAGGTTCGGTGGAGTGTGTTTGAACACACTGGGGATCACCATTTGTTGAGTGTCGTCATCTAGAAACACCGGCTTCGGTGGCTTGGACATGTGCTGTGAATGTCATCCCAGAGGCTTCCGTACAGGTCTCTGTTCGCCAGCCAGCCCTGGGACGGGATGGAAAAGGTGAAGAGGTGGTCAGTCCATGACGTGGCGTCGTGGGATGAAGGATTTTTGTGCTAGATTAGCATTGGTTGGTGTGTCACGACTCCCTGGTTGGGGTCCGCGATATAGCTCAAATCAATGGCTAGAAACGCTATCGGATATGGCAAAGAATCGTAATCAATGGCGGACGTGTTGCGATTTCCTTCTTTCTTCCCTTCCCGATGATAGTTGACGAATACTGTTTGAACTTGTTAAGCATGAGTGTATTCATTGATATAAGAATAAAACTTGTGCACTGTGGTAGAGTGTAATTCCATTATGGGTAAATTTTGTTTTGATAAAGTCTCACAGTGTTATACAGTAATGTTTACTGATGACGTTTCGAGCACAATTTATTGCTCATAATCATATCAAGGTAATCACAGGACTTCCTAAATTCATTTATATAGTTCCATTGTTTTTCTCTTGATTTTCACTTGATTTGATTGGTAATAGTATTTTCCATATTTCAGGTATGAGTGACGAGTCATTCCTATTGCATGTGTTTGGTGTAGACTCGATGAACAAGGATTCAGTAATCAACCTCTTTCTCCACCTACCTAGGTTACTTTTTAGAATTTTAATTTTTTTAATGCCTAAAACTAATAATGCTAGTAGAATATATGGTACTATAAAAATACATAAGCCAGGTTACCCCATAAGACCAATAGTAGATTTTAGAAATACCCCCACGTATGAATTATCAAAACACTTAGCTCTAATACTATGCCCCATTAGAAATCGTTCAAACTCTAGATTAACTAATTCATATGAGATGAAAAATAAACTAAATGACATTCAACTAGCGAATGATGAAACAATGGTTAGTTTTGATATAACTGGTCTTTATACTAATATACCAGTTAATATGGCCTTAGAAGCAGTTAAAAAAGAATTAACTGCGGATCCGGAACTCAGTCATAGGACAAAGCTGTCCATTGAAGAAATTATTTTAGGGATTCAGTTATGCCTCACATCTACTATCTTTAAGTTCCAAGGCAAAATATATAGACAAACAGAAGGTGTAGCAATGGGATCACCAATATCCCCCTATCGTAGCAGACATATTTATGGACAGCTGGGAAAATAGTGCCCTCAATACATTTAACCCTACTCCGAAAATATGGATGGATGACACTTTCACAGTGTTAAAAACAGAACACATCTCTAGCTTCTTGACACATATAAACTCACAAGTTGAGGGAATAAAATTCACATTTGAATCAGAAAATGAACAAGGAGAATTAGCTATGTTAGATTGTAAGATAAAAAGAATAGAAGAAGGCAAACTACACACTAGTGTTTATAGAAAACCAACGCATTCTAATAGATATTTAGACTTTAATTCGTCTCATCCTTTAACTGTTAAGGCAGGCTTAGTTAAATGTTTAACAAACCGAGCAGTGGCACTAAGTAGCACAAAAAAGATCTAAATGATGAATTAAAACAGATAGAAGAAGCGTTGGTGTTGAATAACTATCCTATAAAATTCATTAGGAAGATCATTAAAGGCCAAAAACAAAATAAAAATAATTGTGAAACTAGTAATAATAACATAAATAAGAAAGAATATAAGTCATCCACAGTTATACCATATAAAGAGGGGACATCTGAGACACTACGTAGGATTCTGAATAAAATAGGAATTAGGGTGGCATTTAAACCTACAAACTCACTCAGGGACAAGCTCTGTAGGTTAAAGGACCCAGTTGACCCAATTAGACAAAATAATATTATTTACAAAATACCATGCAATGACTGTGAGGTCAACTACATAGGTCAAACTAGTAGGTCAGGGGTAGTCAGATTGTCAGAGCATAAGAATTTAGCTAAGGTAAGAATGGTTGACCCCGAGAAGATAAGTAATTTAGAAAAAAGCTCAGCAATTGCAATGCATGCGCTAACACACAACCACACAATAGGGTGGGAGAGGGTTAAAATTCTAGGTAGGTGGAGAGAGAGGTTGATTACTGAATCCTTGTTCATCGAGTCTACACCCAACACATGCAATAGGAATGACTCGTCACTCATACCTGAAATATGGAAAATACTATTACCAATCAAATCAAGTGAAAATCAAGAGAAAAACAATGGAACTATATAAATGAATTTAGGAAGTCGTGTGATTACCTTGATATGATTATGAGCAATAAATTGTGCTCGAAACGTCATCAGTAAACATTACTGTATAACACTGTGAGACTTTATCAAAACAAAATTTACCCATAATGGAATGAGTGTATTCCTTTCCAGATAAAGTTCTTTATCCGTTCTCTACTTATATTTTTTTACTTTTAATCGATGTTGTTTTATTATTATTGTGTGGCTCATTTAAATAATAATATTAATAATAAATAATATTATTTATCTCAAGTCACTGGAATTCAGCAAGACAGAAGGCAATCGGAACAACATTGTGCTGTCGACCAAACAGATTGTTCTGGTGATAAAGTGGTCTCGTCGTCGTCATCAGCATCATCATCACGCTTTGATGGCGGTAGTTCCATTTCAAATATTGATTATACTAAGAATTATCCTAAATCCCCACTAACAACGATACCGACAGCGACAGCAGCAGGCGATGGAGTTCCTGTTACATGTGTTAACAGTCATAGTAATACTAATACTACTTCTAATAGGCCAACGAAAGCTCATGTTCGTCGATGGATAGCAAAACAAGAACATTTACGTCAAAGAAGTTTAAAAGAGAACCGTTCATACGAAACTTTATTACAGGTAAAAAATTATCCTATTCTATTCAAATAAGTAATATGTTAACAGTGTGTATGTTTTTATCATTATTATTATTATTTGCGTTGTTGGTGAATTAGGGTAGAATGTTTGCCAGTCTGTGGTTCGACCCCCGACCAACCACTTCGCCTCCCAAAATAAACCCTCGCTTAACTGGGTTGTAGTGTAAACCCTGAAAAGAGAAGGACGTTTGGTTTACAGACTAGAAATTCACCCCCACCTTCCATGGAAATAAAACTCCTGCTACTGATACTTTAAAACTGAAGCTTGAAGTTATATGTTCCACTCGGGAAACAATTTTGATTTCGATAGAGAAAGAAAGACCAGATTTGCAGTATATAAAATGATATGATCATTCTATTTTCACAGGTTCTCATTAGTTATCTTCGCCTAACCAAGGCAGAGGAAGAATTAAGCTTTGTTGAAAAATAACCTTAAGGAAAACGGGTACCCAAAGGGATATTTCCTAAAGTACAGCAAAGAAAGAGATGAGAGAGAGAGAGAGAGAGAGAAGTATCCAACAGTTGAAAAGAAGAATGTTTCCATTCGCCTCCCATACAAAGGAAAAACAGTAACTTAAAAGATTAAAAAGAGGATGAAAAGAACAATAAAGGGATGCTTCCCACCTGCAGCCAATCTGGTGACACTATACAGCACTATATGCTCTATAAGGCAATCGAGACTGGATAAGTATCCTGATGATGTTACCTTCAACTGCATTTATAAATTTACGTGTACCTGCGATAGCAAGTACATTGGAAGGACAGAAAGAAGGCCTTCTATCCACTGTTTTCAGATCATATTCTGAGAAACTTATGCTTAAAAGGAAGCAAATATTTACAAAGTGCAACTGCCAGACACCTTCCCTGGGGATGTGGGTCATTTTGTCGAGATTTTCAAATCCTTCAAAATATTAAACATACAAAGGACAGGGAATCTACTCCGATATGCTGAAGCGATTGCAATCAAACGTTACAGACCAAATTTATGCACACACAGAGAGAGAGAGAGAGAGAGAGAGAGTGTGTAGTCAATCTCTCACTCCCTTGGTAACCATATCACTTTAATTACACTGATTAGTCATGGGCTCAGCTCACTAAGCAAGTTTTAAATTGATGAACTTCGACCTTCTTGAGTTGCCATGTTGACACTGTTTATTAGATTTTTCTCTTTTCTGTCTTCTCTCACCCCTCCCCTTTATTTTCTTCTTTCATAGTTTGACAGTATATAAATTGATGGTAACTTAAACTTCAAATTATAATACTTATATTCCAGATGCGTTCACCTTCTAATGTCTTCTCTATTACCTTTCAAACAATGAAGTATGAAATGTTACTATTTTTAACCATTGCAGCTGATGAGAACCTGTGAAATAGAATGATGATATCATTTTATACCGCAAATCTGGTCTTTCTTTCTCTGTCGAAATTTATCAAGGGAACCAAATGTATGAAACAATTTTGATTCTCCCGTTGATTATTGATTAGACGGAAATATTCGATGCGTTGTTCTATTGACATGTCGATCAGCTCCTAGTACGGACGCTTCGATGATGCCTGACGATTAACATGAATGTTATTTGTTGAATGAATAAATGTTGATTAACAATGAAACCCTGTAGGTCTACACTTCGTTCTATATGGAACTCGTCAGCCGGAGGTTTCTACAGTCTCCGGTGAGTGAGTGAGGGATGATGTCTCCACTGAAACTGAAACCCAGTATCATTCGTTTCAGATACCTGAGTGACACTATTCACTAGACCGTTTAGCCGACGACATTGCAAGCGGTGCATTCAGATATAACGAGTCTCAAATAGGACGGAATAGTTTAAATAAAGTGTACAGTTTGCGTTGGTGGCATGTTTTATGTGGTCGAGGGTCCGAGCCCCGGCCACCGACACACTCGCTAAGCCAGTAATAAAACAGGTAAAGAGCGAAGGTTTGACATGACACAGACTAGCAACCCTATCCCGTAAAAGCAATAAACACCACTGCTACCGGAACTTCAAGCCTGTAGGTTGAAGCCGTATGTTGTTCCACAGGGAACGTAAAGGAAGAATTAAAACACGTAGAGGCTAGCACGAAGAGGCGCTTGTTGGCGGATTCATTTTCCTCTTTAGATATACAATCGCATTTATAGACAATATCGTTTTCACGAAAAAGAGTAGCTGGTGAGAAAAAGTTGTGGTCGTTAGTTAATATGAATTAGTGCATAAGAGAAGTTGAGCAATGGTTTTCGAGTTACGTAATAAGATGAATAGTTTGATGAATGAGTTGTTGTCTGAATGTACAAAGGAAAATATGGGAAGTAAGTAAGAGTTCTAAAGAAATACAAGAATGTGACCCTATTCAAGCAGTTAACCTGAGGTTCTTCTAGTGGGAAGCCGTGACCAGCGGGGATACATGAGTAACTCATCGAAGAAGACATTATGAAGTGGTCACGCTATGTCATGAGTTGGCAGTAGTTAGAATTCATGGACTGGCTGGCCATTGGATTGGGTTTCAGTGGCTTAATGGTGGACCACAAGCTCACTTGCCTTGTAACTAGAGAGGGTCCTGGGTTTGATTGAAGCCCGTTGGTGGTTGAGTACTTCTTAAGAGTTCCAAACTAAAACCAAACAACGGTTCAGTGCTTCCAGTAGGCTTCACAATGTTTCTCTACTGGATGTCAGCTTACAATGAAATTCTGTAACCCATCAAACAGAAAATCCCTACAAAACCAATACTTATGAAAACACAAGAGTTATAAAGAGCTAGAAAAATGACCAAAAGGGAAGAAAAAATCAATTCAGAAGAAGTTGACACGGTTGTTAGCATGACAGCAGAAGTAGTGGTTGAATAATTTTCTTTTATGTGCATAGCTCCGGTTTTTCTAACTGTGAATGGCTAAAGCGTCAGCCTTATAGCAAAGGTGATGAAATCGTATTGCCTCAGGAAGGTTATTCTTCACTTACGGGTTGATAGATTACCTTAATGGAGGCATTTGTTGAGATGACATGACCGGTGTTGACAATTGATATCAGTTGGGGAACCTTTGAAAACCAGGGTGTACTGTGGACAACTGTTCCGTCCCAGTTTGGAAGTCATCGGCAGTAGGCATCCACCGTCAAGGTTCGAAAACAGGACCTTCTGGTTAAAAAAAAGGTGAGCTCGTAGACGACCATTAAGACACTGGGACTCGATTCAATGACCAGCCAGTCCATGAATTCTAATTTCCACCAATTCGTGATTGTAGTGCGAGTGGTACCAACCAATGTCATCGGCGGGAACTCATTCCGACTGAATGGAACTTAGTTTTATTTTTTAATTTTTTATTACAGCTTGATTCCATACTGTATTTTCGGTACAAGTATGGAATTTTCAGCATGTGATATCGGTAGCCTAAATTTTGCAGGCCGACCATAGATATCAGGTGTGCGTCGGTGGCAGGGGATCGAACCTCGGACCATGTGCATGGTCGGCGAGAGTCCTAACCACTGCGCCACCGACGCACATTACATAATTATTTATTTGTAAAAGAAGATGCATTGTTGTAGAAAATCCCATTCTTTCAGAAAAAAAATATATATATATTGATTTATTGATTTTTTTCAGGAGTATTATTCAAGACGCCAAAAACGTTTAGAGAAGAATAAACCGAAACAAGTAGAAGATTTTCTCCAACGTGAACCATCCAAAGGTGAAGGGAAACATTTTCTTGAAGTATGTTGCAGTAATTTTTACAATTTTTATTATAAAAGAAATTAAGTTTTATTGTGATTCACTTGTGGATTATGCGCGCGCGTGTGTGTGTGCGTATTCGCCCGTAGTCTGCATTTGTTCTGTTTGTTGTATATGGTTGGATTGTGGTGAGAGCTCTGTCTGCTAGCCAATATTGGTAAACAGTAATTTACGTCAGTGTTTTTAAGTCCCTATTCTTGGTCATGAGAAAAAAACAAGAACAAAGACTAACTCAACTACCAATCACAGCAAACTGAGTGGGCGGATGCGATTAGCAGATATATGGTCTGACCACCAAAGAAACGGCCACAAAGAGATAACAGAATAACTTCCAGTGAGAAATGAACAATCAGAAGACGCTGTTTCTCTGCTTATAATAACGAAGATAATGTACATAAATATCTCTTGATTTCCTCAATAGACGATCTGTTGCCTGACCCTTGTCTTCTGTCGTTACAGGATTATTTCAACTGTTCCTCCACTTACCCCCACACTGGTTTAAGGCTTCAGTATGTTGAGACACATTGTTTTCCAATCATTTGGACTATGTAATTGTGTATAATGAGGTTTAGTGCATTGGTTGGTGGTGGTCTAAAGGATAGAATCCACCTCAACCACACACTCCATCAGGGTTTGATTCCCAGCTGACGTACACAGCCTCACTATGTATATGACCGGAATCATTCAGTTATCCCTTGGACTCTGAGGTGACGCAATTGTAAATACTCTTTTTATTTTGATGTATTTCAAGAAGAAATCGACTGCCACGGTATGTAGGCTGGCGGCCGTTAAGTAATAGACACTGACACCCACCCGTAAGAACATAAAGCCTTTTCTGATCAACATTGTTGTGGTTAATCGTAATAAATTCCTATCTTCAAATCATTTGATATTTTATCGTCTATTATTATTTTTATATAGATTCGTTTAATACGTACAACATTCGCGTTCACAGATGTAAATTATGAATCAGCTTTAAAATTATCTCATAAAATTTATGAACAATATCAAATTCATATTCATAAAGATGATATCAATGATTGTAATTGGGAACAATTTAAACGATTTTTAATTAAATCTCCATTAGTATTGGTAAGTTGATTTATTCATTCATTGCCCTTCCTTCATTCCTTTATTTCATCTTTCTCCCTTGTGTAATATGATGAGTGGATTATATTCCCTGGAGAGAATAAAGAATACCTAAGACAGAGAATTCCACAAGGTGTAGGCTGGATTCAAGTAAAGCAAATCATGTGCTGCGGATCTAATTGCAACTCTACGCATTATCATCTATATCCTAACTTTTTCGACTTCGAAAAGGTGTTTGTGACAGTGTTGACCGAGTAGTAATTTGGAAGCTACGTCAACACTATGGTATGCAGTGCCCCAAAATCTTTATAACTATACTACATGTCAGGTGATCCAAAACAGAAAACTCAGTGAGGCGTTCAAAGTGAATACCAGAAGTCAGACAAGTCCTGCTGTCTATTATCACTGATGATATTCTTAATTTTGGCAGACTGGATTATACCTCAGATTGTGAGTGAGGAGTGAGAACACAGGAATACATTGGACCACAGATAAGATAAGACTCTAGAAGATCTGGATTTCGGGTGTAAATGATATATGTGTGATGTTACACAAACTCAAAGACTTACAGGCGAAAACCAACGAACTGTCTGAAGAGGCAAGTAGTGAAGACAGGACTCCAGGTGAACATAGAAAAGACGGAGGTGATAAAGATAACCACGCACCAAAAAACCACCACCACCACCAACAACAACAACCAGCACAAGTCATCATCAAAGGGAGAGATTTGAAAGAGGTTATCTCCTTTACTCATCTGGCTAGTAAGCACAGTTTCAACCCGCAGGCTGGCGAAACGGATGACGATGTCAAATCCAGACAAAATCGGAAAGGCAAGATACGCCTTCATCAATCTGAAACCAGCTTAGAAATCTTCTGCACTCAGCCAGCATGAATAACAAAATTCGGATTTTCAACACAATTATAAAGTCAGTCAGTCAGTTCTTCTGTACAGGTCAGAAACTTGGCCAGAGTGTTACGAAAAAGACTTCCAACAAGTTACGGACTTTTACCAACAGCTGTCTTCTCTTACTCAATAACAATAACAATTTCGCTTTATTCCAGAAACAGTACTTGTGGTACAGTGTGGAATTTTCAGCATATATCTACAATATTGCATCTAATTTCATCGTACATTTACAAGGAGTATTATAAAAAAAATAAATATAAAAAAAACACAACAAAAAACCAAAAAAGAAACACAGAAATAACAAAAAAAAAACAAAAAAAATGCAAATAAAAATACCAAGTAAAAAGGAAGATAAACACAAATAATGAAGAAAATATTTCAGTATTGGTTAGTGGAAGCTACGATATGTGTATGCGTGGTGAACAGTAACAGCTATGATCACACAAGAAATTATGAGATGTTCTTAAGAATGTTTATAGCCAAGATGATCAGCTAATTTGATTGGACTACACTAAACAATCATAAAATAAACATTTCAGGGTTTTTATTTTTTCGTTGTCAGCACTAATACAGTGTTTGTAGTGGTAGTGTGAGGAATCATGCATAATACAAAATTTTTTTAAGATGGGGATAGTGGCGTTCACAAACAAGATTGTCAGTTAAATAGTGCCGAACAAAGAACAACCACAAAACTGATGTTACATGATGGTCAATGACGGGACAATTTTTTAATAATCATAGTGATAATATAGTCGGACCCAGTAGATATACAAAAGGAGGAATAGAGTAAAGTACAAAAAAAGTAAGCCAATGATAATAATATTAAGTAGCTAAGTATGTTTAAGAAGGTTGTTCGCTATAGAGTACAAATAAGAGAGTGTAAGGGGGAAATAACAAGGGCCAAAATTATGTTATTAACAACAAAGCAAGTCATAGGTTTGGCGCTTAACATTGTCTCTGTCACTTAGAACACGGGCTGGCCAAATATGGTATCGGAAGTTCAAATTGCCAGTCGGCTGGAAAGGTTAAGCAAAAAGAAATTATGGGAATAAACTAACCGAGAACCGATCGCTTAACAAATATGTAGGAGAAAGTGGAGATGGATCAGGCATACATTGCGACGACAACCGAATGACATTGCACGACAGACCAGTGCTCGAGTTGAATCCCAATGGGAAGGCCCTCCTAGTGTGTGACATGAAGAGGGTCGTGTGAGGAAGAGATGAGAGGGTTTGGTTAATCGTGGACCCAGCTGCAGCGGACGGCAAAAAATAGAAGAAAGTAGAAATGTGTTGTTGAAGCCAGCCCTAGGTTCCACTCGGAACCCAAGGGAATAATAATAATAATAACTGGGTTATATTCAACCACATCAAGTGGTTAAATTCCTATCGACTTCAGTGAGTACATAATTGACTTTTTACAACAGATGAGTCTGATCTTTGCCCTAAGTTAGGACTCTTCAATAATACTCACTCACTGATCCTCGAACCCAGGACCTCCCTGTTACAAGGTGACCGCGTCCTACCACTCAGCCAATAGGACCAGATCCAATAGCCGTCCCATGGGTTCCAACTTCTACCAATTCGTGATATGTATATTTTGCACAACCGCCAGCCATTGTCAATAGTCGAGTAACTGTTCTCCTCCCTAACTTTGCAGATGTCGTTGGTTGCTACTAGAACTCCGTGTAACTTCCTGTACACAACCAGTCACTAGTTAGCATCAGATTAATTATCATATGTTGGTTTGCAGGGATTCGATTGGCAGAGAGAACCATTAAGAAGTCAGTGCATACTGAAAAGCTGTTTTAGCCTAGTTTGGAAATCTTCATCAGTGCACACCTACCGAGTTTCGAACCCAGGATCTTTTGATTGCAAGACGAACTATCTATATGTGTATATCGCTAATCGGTAGAAGTTAGAGTTCATGGATCACTACTCAGCCGTGTCCCAGTGGCTAAATAATCTGCTAGATGATGACATAGTGACTGTATGGTCGTGGGTTTGAACCCCCTCCCGTGCTGGATGTATACTGACGAAGAGTCTCAAACCAGGACGAAACACTATATTCTACAGTGGTATTCTTGTTGTTGTTGTTGTGTTCGGTTATGTCCGTCTTATTGTTTCTCTTCATCATGATACTTTCTTGTTCTTCAATTACAATAAGGATAATCCTGAATGGAATTCCACCCTTACCCCTATGTTTGGTTCATATCATCAACAATATTGGCTTGATGGTGAAAAAATAATTGCTGTCGGTGTAATCGATATCCTCCCGAAGTGTCTTTCATCAGTTTATGTTTTCTATGATCCACAATATGCATTTCTACATCTTGGCACGTATACAGCACTGCGGTGAGTTAGTTGAGTGTGGATGTATGTACGTCTTTTTCTTTGTGTGTGTGTGTGATGGAGCGAGTTTTGTGTATGCATTAAACAGTTAAACTAGTAATCATTTTTAGTTTGAGAATAGATTATTATTATTAATACTATTGTTCCCTTGGGTTCCTAGTGGAACATAGGGCTTCAACTGCACGTCTCCACTTGCCACTGCTGTATTCCTTCTGCTGTACTTTTCACCTGCATCCATGCATGTTAGTCCATACTCTTTCAACTCCTCTTCACACGATCTCCTCCATGTCACCCTTGTACTGACGACACACTCGGCGCTTCCCCTTCGGCCTGGTTCCACTTGAGCAATGGCCTGATGCGCACCCGATGTCACCCAGTGGCGGCCTCCTCAGCGAGTGTCCAATCCATCCATCTCCACTTTCTCCTGCATATTTGTTGGTTGGCGATTGGTTCTTGTTTTGTTTTGTTTGTTCTTGAAGTTTCTTGTTGGTGATTCTTTCCATCCCGGCCATCTGATCTTCAGTATAGAGCCAGCGAAGACAGTTGTTGGTTGATGAAGGTCTGTAACAGGCTGTTGTAAATATTCTTTGTGACCCGCTCGCCCGCCAAGTTTCTGTCTGATCCGTATAGAAGAACTGACTGACTTGACGTTGTTTGTATTGAAAATCCGACGGAATTTTGTTGTTGATGCTGGGTGGGTGACAGCGGAAGATTTCCAGATTGGTTTCAGGTTGATGATGTTGATGTGTTTCTCGCCTTCCCGATTCTCGCTCGATCTGACATCCTCGTCGGTTCCGACTTCCTGTAGTTGAGACAATGCTCCCTAGATAAGTGAGTGAATGAAGTGACCCCTTTCAAATCCCTCCCGTTGATGGTGATTGGCGCTGATGTTCTAAGCACGTTTTATTACTCGTAATTACCATATCAGATGGCTCATATCGATTTGTTATCGCCTATCTCTTAATTTCACTCATTAGTAATAATACTTCACAAATCAAAGTGAATCTGTGGTTCTGTAGTAGAATAGTCATTAACCAAGCCTCACGAGGTTCAGGTTTCGACTCCTGACTGACATATTCCGTAACCTCGCTTAGCTGATAATAGGTGACTCGGTAAAGAAGGAAGATTGGACTCACCCCGTTGAAAAAGGATTACACCATTGCTAAATTGGTCTTCAGATCTCAAGCTGGGAGTTGTGCTGTCCCACTGAGAACGCAAAAGGGATGAATTGAATAATAATAAAAATCAATATCAGGGTGCTCACATAACTTTCAAAGTTTGTTTATATGATTAAACAAAATTAATCTGTAGTCCTTCTGGGTGGGATGAAGACGCTGAAAAAATGCGGAATCTTCTGAACACCTTGAAGAGCGGAAATCTTCGAATGTTGTGCATACGATTTGCCTCCTTCAAATATAAGATGATGCTACAGAACTGGACTACAGCCATTCACTTCTAGCTTAAAAATAGGAAGGGTGTAAATTGATTGGTGGAGCGTGTTGACCATTTCATTTATTTGGGAATTCGCATCAGCCAGGTCTAGTGGGTTGATCGCTGACAAAATTTCAGAACGGCTACATAAGCCTCGTTAAGTATATGGCAACTCGCTATCGATCGGAGGGGGGCATTTGCTGCTCAACAGTCCTCCTTTGTGACTTTGAGCGAGACACATGGTCATTGGAAGTGGAAGACATGATAAGCCTGGCTAGCTAGATAGTTGTCTTTGATCATAGTTGCTTGCGTTCTATCTCCCGTGTGAAGTGGTATAATAGGGTGAGCAATATTAAGGTTAGGGACAGGTTGAATGGTAGGTAAGGTGAGAGGGGAAATCAGTCGACTAGGTTGTGAAGCATCCGAATCGATTGAGCGAGATGGCTATGACATATGTTACGAAGGTGTTCGCCTAACCATTGCCTTCCTCAACGGACGGGTAATGTTAGCTGACTGACACAGGTTAGATCAGGTTGGAAAAGAGAAGGCTAGTGGTGGTCAAACACAAACATGGCTTCAGCAGTTAGTTAAAGCCAACCACAGTGCGAGGTGCAAACTTCTGTCTGGTTGGGGTCGTTGGTGTATAATAAGAAGCAATGAAGACTGGGGGCAATTGGTGGTGATATGGCTGAAAATCGTTCTCAGTGGTGCGCAAATGCATTCACTCCTTGCATCTTCCCATATTCATTAATGGATTTCGGCAACTGAAAATATTCCACTTCTCTGCAGAGTTGTTTCGATGAAACCCAGTCAATGGGATCAGCGTAAATGGCAAGGAAGCTTAGTGGCTTAGCATGCGTAGCGTACAGTTTTATCTTCTTCCTTAGATGTTCGTTAGTCAGTTAATTCTCTTTTGTGTTTTTTCTTCTATGCTTGTTTTTCTTCCAGTGAAATTGCTTTCGTTCGACAGTTGGCCAGAACTTCTACTAGTACTAATGATCCAATGTATTCAAATTTCAAATCATATTATATGGGTTTTTATATCCATTCATGTCGTAAAATGTCCTATAAAGCCCAGTATACACCAGCCTATTTAGCTTGTCCTGAAACCTACAATTGGTTGCCTATAGCGGAATGTTTAAAAGCATTAAATGCCTCACCAAATAAAAAGTATGCTCGTTTCTCTGATTTGTCGGCTGTTGATCTCAATGCTATCCCTAAATGTATTGATATGGATACGTTGGATTCACAAATATACTTTTGTATTATATATATGAATGATAACGAAAATGACAGTGGTGGTGGAGATGATAACGCCAATTATAATGATAATAAATCTCTAAGATCTCCTCCAATCTCATTGAAGGCGTTACGTTCACGTTTAAATCGGCGGTCAATACCAATATTTCGTGAATGGGCTAAACTTTTAGGCAATCGTGTATTATCTGGACATTTTCAAATTATAATTCATTCTCAATAATGACAATGATGATGACGATAGTGATAATGTGATTCTTTATTAAATTTATTTTATTTATTTACGTATTTTTTGAGAGAAAAAGTAACATTTCGTCAAGTATGGACTATTGTGTATTACAGTTTAAAGCAAAAGAAATGAAAATAAGCGCGCGCGCACACACGCTTATTGTACATTGATCGTTGAACATTCACTTTTGTGTGCACACACACACACACGTATTTGTTTGTTCAAACTGACATTCATTAACAGTATTTTTGTTGTTGGCTTTTCTGCAAATTTAGATTTTTCACAGTTTCCGTTTTTTCCTTTTAAATTGCTTTTCAAGAAAAAATAACAAGAATAATATTGAACACATTGAATTCTTCGCCTTACTGTAGACAATACATGTATTTAATCGTATTGAAAGTAGAAAAAATATCTACTGTCATGGTGAGAATCTCACGTGTATCTCTTCATTCGGTCTAAAGAAGAGAAGAATATGTAATTATATTAAATAAAAAAACTTCTTGTTGCTGCTACTGTTGCTTTTTTTTTTTGTAAATTTTTGGATCAGATTCGTCATTTGCAATCTCTGAGTTTTGGGTTAAGTCGAGTTCTGTCCCCAGCGAGTGAAACTTCCCTGCAGCGATTGTCAGCTCAAATACAAAAGCCAGAGTAGTAGAACAGGTGCAGTCAGACTAACCGAGCACTAGCAGCAAAATCTAGATAAGTCTACTCAAATAAGATATTTGAACAAAGCAAGGACAACAGTTTTAGCAGAATAAAGTGGTACCATCCTGTGTTTATTTCGTTGCCTTCTCGTCAGCTCAGCTGCTTACAGGCCGAAGACATTATTAAATATATCTACACAAAACAATTTTAACATACTTGCACAGACAGTTCATTTTAAACAAAAATCTGTCGGTCAGTATACGCATACAGTAATAATATATTGGAATTGTGCGTCGGTGGCATAGCGGTTAGGACGCTCGCCTACCTTGCACATGGTCCGAGGTTCGATCCTCGGCCGACGCACTCCTTTACCTCGCTAAGCCAGAAAAAATGCTGGTAAAGAGGCATGAGGCTAGCAACCCCATCCTGTGAAAATAAACACTGCTACAGAAACTTCAAACCATTAGATTGAAGCCCTATATTCCACTGGGAACGTGAAGGAAAAATTATTAATAATATATATATATATAATATTAAACACTATTCCGAACAATAATGATCATACACAATTGAAACTTTTCAGTATTTCCCACTTAGATGAAAGAGAGATGAAAAATATCCAGTTACCAGGTTGGGCAAAGAAAGACTGATAACCGCTTCTATCTGGACACATAAATCACGTTACAGGCGCTTGATGGAAATGGCTTCAGCAAACTTGAGGAGAATTTAGCTTTTTTGTTCGGAATAGTGTTTAATATTGCATATATATTATTATTATTCCCTTGGGCTCCTAGTGGAACATAGGACTTCAACTGCACGTCTCCACTTGCTCCTGTCTTCTTCTCTTCTGTACTTTTTACCTGCATGCATGTTATTCAGTCCATACTGTCTCACTTATCTTCACACGATCTCCTCCATGTCACCCTTGCACTGACGTCCCACCCGGCGCTTTGCTTTCGGGTCTCACTCGACCAATGGCCTGATGCGCGCGCGATGTCAGCCAGCGGTGGCCTCCTCAGCCACGAGTGTCCAATCCATCTCCACTTTCTCCTCTTTTGATGGTACAAACAAGATTATGTCTGTTAGTGACAATGTATCGCCCATCACACTTTCGAAGAAGTTCCCGTGAACCTAGCCCACATCTAGGCGTGTATTTTCCTTTTCTACAATTTATTTGATCTCCCACTTCAAACATTATACATTACTTCTTTTCTCTCCGTTCGAATCTTGCAGCGTCCAGAGTGTTAACCACTACACTTTGAGCTGTGGATCACTCGTCATGTATGTCGATGAAGAGTCCAACCAACTGTGTGAATTATTGTGAAACAGCATACAGCTGTGAAAATCGACATCTTGAATGTGTCTCTTTGTTTACTACTGATAAATCTTATCAGTAGCACCCACCACATCCTTATATAATACTATTTTTATTATGGTGAATGGAATATTAATTGGAGGCAGTAGGACACATTAGAGGAAGTTAGTTGACATGAAGTCATATTTGATATGGGTCTCGTACTTATCGACACTCATCAACAATCTCGAAACACTAAATATGCCTAAGTAAGTGACCTTACCATTATTAGGTAGTATAGGAGTGAGTCAGGAAAGAGTCTGAGGTGCTCAATCCATGAAGCCTTCAGCTGTCTGTGCAAGTATGTTAAAATTGTTTTGTGTAGATATATTTAATAATGTCTTCGGCCTGTAAGCAGCTGCGCTGACGAGAAGGCAACGAAATAAACACAGGATGGTACCACTTTATTCTGCTAAAACTATAGTTCTTGCTTTGTTCAAATTCGCTGAGGGGAATAAATGTATGAAACTTCAAATAAGATAGGAAATCTAGAGAACAGTTCAGCTATACCACTCACTACATGCAATTACACATACAATAGGACGATTGGGATAAGATGACTGTTTTAAAATCTAATGTCACAGGGTGACTTGAGGGAGAGATTGGTAACAATGGAAGCTTTGTTTATCGAATCAACTGCAAATCAACACGTGTAATAAGAATGATTCAACGCCTGTCCACCCAGCCATACATCTGGAGAGAATAGAGAAAACTATAAAACTCAAGTTTTGAAGTTGTGTGATTATAATTGATGTTATTTGGTGATTGTGTCACTTCGATCTGGCTGGCTAGCTAAAGCGCAATATACTGGTTGTTGTGAGTGATCATCCATCTACACTTATATCAGTCAGTGAGTAGTATTTTGAAGGGGTTGCGTTCTCTGAGCTGGTTGGTTTGATTGCGGAGCTCTCATTGTCTTTCAGCACACACTTCGGCATAAAATATGTCTGTTGATCGCTGATTCGTCTTGAGTGCACCAGACTTCTAGTAATTCCCTTGGCATATTTTGCTGTTTCGACTGTTCACTTCATATTGAAGTTTCCCTTGGAATGATGCCGTTTTTTTAAGTAGGAGGACAGTAAAAGCTTCGCATCTGAATCACCATTCAGCACAAAGAACGCAACCACCGGAGCTACAAATCTTTCCTTTTATTTCATCAATTAGCAGTAGTATGTGTCATCCTATGGTCTTGTGCCTGTCTTTTTGATTACCATGCAGGGGTATCAAATCAACCGCGCTGAAGGCTTCATGGATTGAGCACCTCACTCTCTTTCCTGACTCAATCCTATACCACCTAATAATGGTAAGGTCGTTTACTTAGGCATGCTTAGTATTTCAAGATTGTTGATGAGAGTCGATAAGCACGAGACCCATAACAAATATGACTTCGTGTCAACTAACTTCCTCTAATGCCCGGTACTGCCTTCAATAAATATTTCATTCATACGGTATGTTTTTCTGCGGCGGTGGCACAATGGTATAATGCTTGCCAACCATGCATATGGTTCGGGATTCGAGACCCGACCGCCAACGCACTCCTTTACCTCGCTGAGCCACTAATAAGACTGATAAAGAGAGTAGGCTGGGCCTCACTTAAAACTGAACACCATTGCTATCAAAACTTCAAAAGAGCTCTAGCTTGAAGCCCTAGTTTCTTTTGGGAAAGTAAAGGATATGGCGTGTGCTACTGTCAGGATTTATCAGTAGTATATAAGGAAACATTCAACATATCGATGTTCAACTCAGTATGCAGTTCACATTAATTCACACAGTTGGCTACACTCTTCATCGATACATGAGCCAAGTGATCCACCACTCAAAGTATGGTGGTTAAAACCCTGGATGCTGCGAGATTCTAACGGAGAGAAAAGAAGAAATGCATAACGTTTGGTGTTGGAGATCAAGTAAAGTGTAGAAAAAAAATGTACACGGCTGGATGTGGGCTAGGTTCACGGAAACTCCTCCCAAAGTTTGGGATGGGTGATACACTGTCACCGACAGACATGATCCTGTTAATACCATCAAAAGAGGAAATAAACAGAAGCAGGTTAACGTTAGCCAACTGCATAAATGAACACAGTGGGATAAGTAAATTGGGAGCAAAATACAACAAGAATGATTAGAACCAAAAAGATAGGAGAGTTGCTCCGCTCGAAACTATTTGTTGGCGGGTGACGAGTGTGGCGTGTGCTACTGATGAGATTTATGAGTAGTATATAGACATATTCATCGACATAAAAAATGTTAAATAGCAGAGATGGATTTTACACGAACAAGGGGGTAATGAACCAGTATTGTGGTTAAACATGGGAGACACGAAAAGAAGCACAAAACGAAGGGCAGAATTGGCACAACACGGAAGATTTGTGCGAATAACGATTTTCGTATAAGGAGGGGGTATACATAATATGATTGGCTGGAGGAATTCATCATGAGCTGACATCGGTTGGAGAAGCTGCACTGAGCAGCTGTTTCGTCATCCTAGTTTGGGACTCTTCATCAGTGCGCACCAACCCCGTTGGCAGTCGAACCCAGGACCTTCTGGTTACAAGGTGAGCTAGCTCGTAGACCATTAAGCCACTGGGACCTGATCCAATAACCCGCCCATGAATTCTAACGTCTACCAATTCATGACAAAGCGTGACCACTTCGCATTGAAGAGTCCCAAACTAGGACGAAACAACTGGTTGTCTTGTACTCTCAGTTGGTTTTCCAATGGTTCTCTAACCGATGTCAGCTCATGATGAAATCCTCCAAATGATCATATAAAATCCCTACAAAACCAATACTTGAAAAGTATACATAATTCCCCCATATATGTATATTATGTTTCTAACAAACATTCCGTTACCAACAAGCATTCTTGTGTTCTGATATTACTTCGAATAAGGTGAATTATGCCTCAGGACAAGTCGTATTTTAAGGCTTTAAATAATTATTCTTGTGAATAACGAATTGATAACTCCCCCCCTTTTGGGTTCTCAGATGAATTCAA